ATACCTTGGGTTAAGAAAGAGTAAAAGTGCTTAAGTGCACTGGCTCAAAACAGCTTCAATATAATAATATGTTTTTTGTTTACAAATGGAATTACATGCTCAAAACACTATTTAAAAATGTTTTTTTAAGTAGGTCCTAGTTTTGAATTCCAAACATAATTAAAACCGTTTATATATTTATACAAATATTTTGATTTACTTCAGCTTTTTAATACTTAGGAATTTTTTTTTTTGCTTATAAATACCTCTTAAAAGTCAATTAAAATTATAAGTAAAATAAAAATATTTTATATTTAAAAAAGCAACATTAAGGTGACTAAAGTATTTACATCTATCTTGTAATCATTTAATCATATAAAAAATAAGACTGTTTATTATATCAGTTTTAAAAATATCTCTTAAGCAGTTTATTTCAACTATCAAATGTTTTACGTAGCAAAAACACTTAGTGCATATCTAAGAAACTGTCAAAACCTATCATTTCAACAACTTTTAAGATATTAAATTTTAATAAAAAAATATTTGAAGTAATTGCAGATAAACGTGTTCAACAAATATGCAATTTCCCCGAATAAATTCCGATGCCACAAGACTTAAGCCTAAACGACATGGAGCCGTCGCAAAAAGAAGTAAATTATGCGTTGCAGAAACGCATGCGCAACACATTTGTGCCACTCACATACATAGTGCACATGTGTAATTGCATATTGGAGCATAAATTCATAAATACAAGAGTATCTAAATAAATGAATATATGAATAACTGAATTGCACTTTACGAGTAGACCTGCGGCAGGCTGGCGACACTTCATCGCTTAACTGTGTGGAGGATCTTAAAATTTATTAACTCCAATGGCGACGACGCATGCGTAAATGATTTTCAATAAATGCCTTGGAATAAATTGCATCTTAATTGGCAGTCAGACGCGACAGACTTATACTTGATAGATGGCGTACATTTACAAATGTTAATCGAGTTCCGCATTAGTTTCAACACTACAGCTACTTGTTTATGGTAAGTACGACGAGCGAGTATCTCACACAACTGATTGTATCTCAAATCAAAACAACTACTTTCACTTAATTTTCTGTTAGATAAATTATATGTAATTTAATGTTATAAAACAAAGCCAACTTAAGTAGTTGAAATTGATAATGAAACAAGTATTGTAGGTCGAACTTTACATAATATATACTTAAATGCATATTATAACATTTTTCTTTTTTTGTTTCTTTTTTTTCTTTTTGGTTTGATAAAGGTCTGACTGTTTATTTGTTAACAGGAGAACTCATATGCGTACAATGTCAGTTTATATTTGGAAACCTGTGACACACAATATTGGACGAGAAACTTGCAATCGAGCATATTGACTTTATCAACGATTTATTGTGTAATCCCATCTCAATTGATGCCAAAAAAAAAATTGGATTTTGTACAATAGCAAGTGTGGCAACAATAAAGTATGTTTTTCTTCAATGCTATAATGTCTTTTTTAGTGACTTTCATCTTTTATAGACAATCTTAGCTGAAAACTTATTTACTTTTTATAATAAATACATTTTTCTTCTGCATATGCTATACACACACACATTATTTTTTTAACTATAAGTTGCATAGATAGACTCTTAATTGTTTTACAAATACTTTCTCACTTCTCAATAAACATTAAAAGAAATTTTGAAATATTTTTAAGTGTAAAATTACACATATTGAGAGTAAAGATAAGTGCTCTTGCAGATAAGTACTAGTATATTTCACATTAGTAATAAATTATTTCATAAAACAGTTGTGAACTAATCGCTTGTTCTATTTATTTGTTTAGATAACAAATATAGGCCTAGGTAAATATTTTGAAATATTTATCTATGTACGCAGATAACTCGAAAATAATCATGCATAAATGTTTTTTATATCAAATTTAAAAAATACATACAAGTATTTCCACCTTAAGCGACAGATGTAGATTGTAGTAATGTAAAAACAACTTTTAGATAAGTCAGATAAGATATTTGCACTTTAATTTTTATCTTTGAATGTTAAAGTATCAAATTTTACAAAAATTATTTTAATTTGGCACCAATTTGAAAATAAATTTATTTATACTTTGAAAATAAATTTATTTATATTTACTCCAAATTAATTAATGAATTTTACGAATTGAAATTATAATTATTATTAAGATACATGCAGTCTCAAAAAATTATTTACGAATAATTAAATATAAGAAATAATTCCAATAATTCCAATTCCACTGATGTTGGAATCAGCCACAAATTATATTAATTAAAAATAATAAAAAAATTTGTTGTTGTAATTTACTACTGCTCGATAAAAACCACTCAAATAAAAACAATAGTATATGTGAAGAATTTAGTTTTCTTCATTAAAACGGACGTTAAAAATTAATTTATTCTTTATCGCAAGCCTTCATAACAAAAAAAAATAATTTGAATTAATTTTCTATATAAAATTGCTTACATTTCGAAGTACTTTGGCGTTTACATTAAGGTGGTATCATCCCACCTGTTTTCTTTTGTATTTTCATATCCAATCTTTTTAAAATAATTTTTAATATTTGATTTGATTTGAATTTACCATCAAACTTAAGTTATTATGAGGTTAAAACGGTGTTCGCAAACATTATAATATACTTAAATAATTCAATGTAATACCGTTTAAAACTTTCTTTTATTATGAACTGAAAGTTTCATAATAACGATTTCAAATTTTATATGATAAAGTAGGCTACTATAATTTATTGGAACTTCTTATCCAATATGATATAAGCAAATATATGAATGGTTACTGAATATGAATATTAAAGCTCGTCTATATCCATAATTTTCTATATTTTTTTTTTCAAAGAATAAGTGAAATATATCATATTCCCACTTATCATATTCCCTTCTTATTGCTGTTCATTGCAATCATTTCATCTAAATTGGAAACAGTAAACTTCATTCTTCTTTTTGTCAACGAAACCAATTTACCAAGGTTTCAACATTTCCCTTCTTACTGCTACTCATTGTAATAATTTCAACTAATTTGAAAACAGTTAATTTCGTCTTTCTTCCAGCCAGAAATAAAAATTTAACAAGGTTTTATAATTTTATTTTTTTAAATATATTTTCACAATATATTTTCCTTTCTTCTTGCTACAACTCCTTGGGATAATTTCAACAAATTTGGAACTTTTTCACTACCCATTTATACCTTCTCTTCCTTATGGCCTCTGGCAAACCCAAAATCTTTCGTTTTTCGAATGAGGTTTTTATCATCAAACTAATCTAATGTTTTTAATATTTTTTAATACTTTGTGCTAACTTTAAATAGTTATTAGTAATCTGTTCTTATTTTTTTATTAAGTTGAAAACAAAAAAAATTAAACAAAACTGCTTTAGAGAACATATCTGAGATACTCTCTAAGTTAACAAAAAAAACAATTATAAGCAATTAAATAAAATATATTGCATATTTTAAAAGCTTTTTCTATATATGGTAGCATTGAAAAATTATATTAATTATAATTATTATTAAAATTATATATATTTATGTGAAAATTAAATATGTGCGTACTTAAAAACGGTGTTGTAAAAACACCTAATAGATTGAGTTATTGTTTTAACTTTAATTATTTGCATAACAAATAAACCAAAGTATCTACTTTGAATACAGTCCACTTTGAATACACTTTAAAAAACCAAGGGAAAGAAAAGTCCAAAGGTAACTCATTGGACTCATAGGCGGTCTACTTAAAGTGTGTCGTAGACTTGCCCTTTAAACCTGACTCAACCTTTAGGTTTGAATACGCATATGGTATAATTAGTACTTATTATATACACACTATATTTAAAGTCAACAAAAATGCTAATGCTTTTTATTTTAATTTAGTTAAAAACTATATTCATGCTATTACATTCTGTAAAAAGTAGCACTACTTGAAGTGTTGATCATTAAATTAATTATTGATAAATTATTCCAATCATAGTTTGTTTTTTTTAGTAATCAATAATTTAACTAAACACAAAATACTTATTCATTTATATATTTTTATCTTCGCAGCTCATTTAATAAACATTTACTAAAATAACTACTTTAAATATATTTATCGCAAACAAAAACTCTGCTGAATTTATAAAAAATAAACATTAAATTTGAAAAGAATTAAGTAATTAAGAAATATCTCATATGCGCATACATACTAAATATTTTAAGAAGCAATTATACTTAAAATATTTATTTTTAAAATTGAAATAAAAAGTAAATTCGCAGGTGTTATCTTATTTTTAAACATTCAGAAGCAGGGATGTATACAGAGATTCGTTTAAGGGGGAAAACGAACTATTTTTGCAAAGTAATTTAAAATTCATATAAATATATTTAATTATAAAATCCATAATATTTAGTGTAAAATAGTACAAAATATTTGAAGAATGTTTCAACCCCAAAATCTGTACTTGTATACGCCACTGTTCAGAGTTAAGTCTATATAAAATATCCCCCCCACCCAAACTAATAGAGCCAAATATGTGGGATAAATAATTTTAAAATGAATAATACAAATTTTTAAATGTTTTTAATTTTTATTTATTGTAATTTATAGCGCGTTTATATTCCTTAAGAATAGTTTCGATTTAAAAAAAATATATATGTTTGCAGGCAGATTTTTTATAACGTTTTCATTATAAGTAATATTTAATTTCGTTACAAAAAATATATATGACTTAAAATTATTTTAAATTTAATGCTTTCTGCCTTAATAATTTATTTATATAATTTATGCAAATAAAATATTAATTAAAACAAGATATTAAAACATTCAACTTATTAAAATATTAACTATTTATCGACGTCATAAAAACAACAATTCTTACAATTACAACAAATTTGATTTAATAATTTAACATAAAAAACAGTTGAAGTAAAATAATAACTTTTTAATTGTCTCTTGGAATATTCAATAAATTATTTGAATTAAACTTGTTCTTTGCAGACGATTGAAATATAAAATAAATTTATTTAAGTTATTTAATTTTTTTGCTATATAAAGCAGCTATACTATATATATAAACTTAGTTACTATATGCACCACTTACATACTATGGCGCGCAATCACGTGACTGATAGAATAGTATATAACCAGTCTCTGATGACTTCTGTATATCCGAAGTCAAGCCGTAAAAATCCTCTATTGTTGACGCTTCTATCTTATCGACCATATCATCATCGAAAAGCAACCACAAGCCATGACTTTTTACAATGCTGATGTAATGTCCACGATTTGGTCCTGATCCACAATGTATCACCACCGCCATTAAATCATATAAACGATCGGGATTAACTGCATCATCGGATGTGTTGAACAGTCGTAGTTCTAATGGAAATACTACACGATGCGATACTTTTATATGTCGGTTAAATTGTTCCATGTATTTGAAGCGTTTCAAATGTAATGCCAATATCATCGGTAACTTTTTTACACGCATACGTTTCTGCGCTTCCTGATAACTGCAACAATTATCGCATTTAAATTTATTATCTGAGCATAATGTCTCCGTATTACTAAAACATCGCAGACAATGCGTAATTGATGTATTCTGATCGACATCGACCTGTAAGTCGAAGAAATGCTCATCCTTGCTGCTGACAGTCTCACAATTAAGGCAACGCGTTTCTGATGTTAGTGTTCCTTGGAAAATTTCATGCACCCAAGTTGGTTCAGTATTGGCGGCATTGGTGAGTTGAATTGGTGTTGTAGCTTGCTCACCTACGCCATTTAGGGAACCCGATGAATTCGTACAAGTACCGTTTGAAGTAGAATTCGATGTAGAGGTTGATGTCGACGTCGACGAGGTCGAGGATGATTTACTTGTTGTGCCATTAGCACTCACAATAGTTTTGTTGTTATTTCGCTCAGCTAGTATTATCTCATTTATGTGATTGATTAAAAAATTTAAAAATTCATGCGCATCTTGTTGCATATAATTATCAAACTCTTCCTTTTCCTTGCGTAATCGTGCAATGAATTTCTTTGGTGCTATCGAACCAACTTTTTTCTTCTGTGTTGCTATGTTGTAGAATAAATCCGCCAAACATGAGAGCAGTGTCTCTTTTGGACGCTTATTTTTGGCTTTATACTCAAGCACTTTTTCCCGAAATGGTTTACAGAAATACAGTGCTTGCAGAACAGAGTTACTGTAGCAAGTATTGCCAAAATTTACCAATCCAAAATAGTGTTCATTGGGTGGAAATAGGTCTGAGCCAATTTCACGTTCCAATTGAGAAACGTTAGCGCCCATTTTATGTTAATTTTTAACCCAAAATTGATTATGGTCGGTTTCTTCAATTACTTCCTGGTATTTTAATTTTGTCAACTATTATGTCTTTTTGCAGTACTTATTAGTGTGTAGAGTCATTTAGTTCTTAAACAATCACAATATATCATTATTCCACCACCAACATTTAATGCTTTCTATACGTGAATTTTAGTATTATTGGATAATATGTATAATATTAGGCGTTCGGACGTTTAAGACATTTCTTTTCGTCTGAAAATAAAATTTTGAAGAGGGGATACACATCAGTATTTTTGTGACGAAAAATAAAATTCTTAAAGATATTATATCACAAATTGCAATAAAATTAAGACAACCAAAAAAAAAAACAATGGATATGAAACCAAAACAAAAATAATTATTAGTAATAATATATATTAGAGGTAAAATATTAATTGCTTTAAAACTATAATATTGTTTTATTTCCAAACAAAAATAAATTATTTTAAGAAATATATGAAAAATATATTACTTTTGTGTTATTATCCCCTCTCCTTTTATAATTTTATTTTCAAAACAAAAACTTATTGAATAAATTTATAATGATGTACTTCATAAGAATTACAATTTATTACCATATATATACACATATATATTGTATACATATAATATATATTTTAAGATATATATTACAGAATCACTGAATTGATTTTAAAACACAAATACACAAAAAGAATTTAAGAACTTAAAAAATTTTAAAAAGAATTAAAATATGTTGTTTTATCAAAAAAAAAAAACAAAAAAAAAAAGAAATGAAAATTAGTTGCAGGAAGAAATATGATTAAATGAATATTACAAAGATATACATTAAACAACAACAAAAAAATTAGATCCATCCTCATAAAAAAAATATAATAAATACATATAAAATAAAATATTTTTATATATATATTTATATATTTTATATATATATTTATATATTTAATATATATTTAATATTTATATATATATAATATATATTTATATATATATTTTATATATTTATAAAATATATATATATATATTTATATATATATATATTTATATATATATTTACTTATATATAAATATATATTAAATATGTATTAAATATATATAAAATTAAAAAAAATATAATAATATTGTTTCTATATATATTTAAACATGCACATAATAAAAATTATTTATATATATATATATATAATGTTATTTGTTTTAAATAGACTAAAAATATGTTTATACATTGTGGTCTTCTGGATTAGTAGTCATAGACTGTAATTAGAATACCATTTGAAAAAAAAAACTTTTTTGCACAAAGAGTAAAATATATATATATATCTATGAGATATATCTATGAGATATATCTATGAGATATATCAATGAGATATATCCATGGGATATATCTATGAGATATATCAATGAGACATATCTATGAGATATATCTTTTTAATAATAAAAATGTAGGCATGCTATGCAAGATTGGGGATTTTTATATATAATATTAAATGCATCACAAGAGTTATTTTTACACTAAAAATAAAACTTCTTTAAATAAATATAATATATATATATATATTACGAATATACAGAAACTTATATAAAAATATTCTTTCCTAACCTAGTTTATTACACCATGATATAAATAAACCACACTAGCTAAATCCATAAATTAGTTCTTGCTATACAGAATAAAAACTATGAAATATAAACTATAAAAATTAAAACAACATTTAAGATTTAAAAAAAGTAAATATTAATATTATGTTTAATATTAATATTATATATCAATATTAATGTTAAGTATAATTAAATATTAATGACATACAACATGCAATGAATTTGGAAAGAATTTTGTCGTGTTTAATAAAGTTTACAGTTTCTACTAGTTTGGTATTCCAAAAATTCAGCGTAAACAATTAGATATAATAGAAGAACAACTGAACACTGGATATACTGGAAGAGCCACTCAGCTCTTCTACACAGAAATACAGTTGAGAAAAACATATAAATTGAACTTTGACAGAATATAATAGACAGTTGCTTAAAGATAGTGTTTAGATGTGGTGTCATTTCTATGGTATGATACAGAGCACATAAAATTATCCATAAAAATCATCGACTTACAAATAATACAAGAATCAGTAGATTTCACGCCGTCTATTACGTCTGTCGATATTTATTAATTAGCAACATTTTTGATAACTTTTACCGTCGAGAGCTTTCAAAACTAATCACTGAAGATTACTACGTAACACTAAATTTCATACTAAAAAAACTAACCAAAATCGATTTTATATCATATATTCTTAGCAATCCTGTTCTTAAAAGGATCCTGTAATCTTTGAGGAAGAAACAAAAACCTTTTGACAACATCAGAAATATTTTGACAGCTTTAAACGACGAGAGTTTTTAAAAATATATACTGATGTAGTATACTTTTCGATATAGTCCATTTAATTAAGAAATACCACTAAACAACAACATATTTTAAAATAAAAAAACAACTCAAAATGGTTTTTTATCATAGATTGTTAGTAATCTAATTTACAAGAATCTTATAAATTCAGGAAGAAAACAAAAACTTCTTGTACTTATGATAGCAAGAGCCAATTCCTCATGAGCACTAAGTCCGCAACTCTATTAATAATGAGTTTACTAAGTGTACATGTTAAAAACTAACTAAGAGTTTATAGTATAGTAAAATTAGTAAATTATAGTAGTAAATTAGTAAAATTATAGACAAATAGGAAAATTGTCTAAATTAATTCAATTATTTTTCTTGTAACAAAGAAGTAAAATATAGTATAGCAAGAAGATTGACAAACAGAATAGGAGTGTTGCTTATTTATTATTTTTATATATTACTTCAATATAATTTGTATTTTATTTAAATATTATTTATATATTATTTATCTTTTATTTATATAATATTTATTTTATTTTAATTTATTTTATATTAAATTTTATATAATTTATTTTTTTATGTAGTATTAATATATTAGGGATTTTCAAATAAACTATATTTTAACAATATACAACTGAAACATATTCCATGTATAATGAAATATATCATCCCAAACCCTCATAAAAACCCTAATAGACTAAGAGAGAAACTTTGTCTAACAAGATTTTACATTACTTTTGATTATAACAGCTTTCGATATTGATTAAAATTTTAAATTCATTGATTGATTTGATTTTAAAATCTTATTTTTAATAACTATTGTTTTCTTTTCATGATTAAGCATGACAAAATCTGCTTTATTATTAAATGACACTGTCACTAAGTAAATAAGTCAATTATTATATAAATACTGGTTAAAAATTACAATTATTTAAAATGTTTAGTCCGATAAAAAGTTTGATACTACCAAAAAAATATATATCACTAATAAGAACGACTAGAAGTATCGTTTTCTATATTGTTTTATTTATTTAGTATATATTTAGTATACATTTAGTATGTATTGTTAACTATAAATTTCCGCAATGGAAACTAATTTGTCAGAATTAAGAACAACTCTGAACATATTTTATTTGTTTGTGGTTCTAAAATAATTACTTTCATAATTATTTAAATTTTCTATTGAATATTTCATTTTGATATAAAAATATATATCTTTACTAAATTGGGTGATAATTAAACTAAAACTTAAACTTAAAGTGGTATTAAAACTTTTTTTTAATAAAACTTAAAAGCGTTTTTTAATAAAACTTTTTTCTACTATTAAAAAAGATATAAACGATCATGTTTAGTACAAAAAAATCTTATGACAGACAAAATGAACTTCGAATTTTTAATAAAAACATTTTTTATATATATTATAAATATTTATATATAAAAAATATCTTATTAAAAATAATATTTTAATGTATATAAAACTATATGCATTTTAATGGCGCAAAAATGTTGCATAAATTAATTTATCCCTCGTGCTTAATAAAAGTTAATTATATAATTAATCATTCATTGCTTTAAATTATTTAATTTATTAATATAATTTAATATTTAATTTAACTTACCGTGTACGAAATTTCCTTATTAACCTTGTTTTGTTTTTAATGTTTTTCTATAAGGATTTCTTTTATATATAATCCCTCAAACATACTATCGAATTTCTATAACTTTTACAGTTAAATGTTGGTTCTCGAAAACTTTTTTCAATTTTACATATAAGTTTATATATGTATACATGTACATATATATTAAACTATATAAAATTTGCTTTTGATATGAAACGATTTACTGATAAATTGTATATGTATAGAAATCTAGTATGTAGCTTTGCCTGAAAGTAAACAAAAGAAAATTTATTAGTATAAGAAAAGGAACAAAATATGATATATAATATATATAAACTAGCTTATTTGTACATTTAAAATTGCAAAATATATAGACAAACAAAAAATTTGATAAAAAAAAATAATTAAAATTATAATGTTTTAATGCTTAGCACACTTAGTGACTAAAAATTGAACAAAAGGTGCAAAACAACTAGTTTTAAATTATGGAAAGTATTCAAAACCCCAAACAAAAAACTGCACTGCGTAGAATATGATGGACAGTGATCTCGTTGAAATCCTACTACGTACACAGCATATTATAACCTAAAATTCTTAATGCACAGTTATACACCCACATTTTAGAACAAACAGTAGAGGCCTTCCGCCCTGTTCCGTTCATTGATAAATTCAATATCTTTGTTTTTGGAATATATTTTTCCATTATCGATAACGCCTACCGACGAAACCATACAGCGATACACTCTGATTCAAACAATAAAGTACACCAACCAATCATGTCACTCGATATATATATTCATATTTGATAGAGAGATTTCAAAAAGTAGTGAACTAAAACAACAAAAAATTTTTTTATATTATCTTAATTAATTGAATATTTGGCTGATTATATAGCTGTTTCGAGTGTTACTTAATACCCATCATTTTTGGAATAGAAATAAACGACAATAATAAGACGAAACCGTCCTATTGATGTAATATACTATTCGATACCATTCATAGTTAACAATCCTGCTCTTAGTAAGGATTCCAACATCTTTTAAGTACAAATAAACAGTGCATACAGCAGTAAGAATCATTTTGCCATATAAACTGAATTCATGATATTGTAATTCTATTCTAATGTATGATATATGTATATCACAGTTAAAATAGAGGAATACTAAAATCGTTTACATTCATTAGATTATATTTTTTGTAATAAAAGTGTGCTATTCATTTTAAACCTTGGATTACAGAACTCACTATTTCATAAAAAACTAAAATGATGTAATAGCTCGATTCGCTAATAAAAGTGTAATTAAATTAGGTCATATACTTAGTACTTTTATGTGAACTTGTCTTTATTAAATTATATAAATAAATAGAATAATAAGAAAAAACTAAGCAATACAGCAATACAAAGGAAGGCAATTAAAAAGACCGTGTTTTCAAAAACAGAAATAAATTTAATAAAAATATCAATGAAGTGATCTACTACAGAGACGAAGATAAGAATTTTGCCAGCAAATTAAGAAGGAACATTTTATTGAGCAAAAATAATTGAGAGTTGAAAGCATTGCCGTTTTATTCTATCTTCTTTAATGTTAGTTTAATTTGAACCAGTACCGCGTTAAGTACATTTTTTTAATCTCTAGAATATAAAAAAAAGAATAATAAAAATAAAAAAATGAACGTTTGTACTAGGCTACTTTTAGTAGCAATCGTCGCGTTATTAAATTGTGCGTTAAGTTTACAAAATCCTGTAAGTCAAAACTATAGTACCAGCATTTTACGTATAGCTAAATCCGCTCAGATAAAGGCCTATTTGGATGAAGACCAGGATCCTTGCGATGATTTTTATGAATTTGCTTGTGGAAAATGGCAACGTCTACATCCTGCACGTGCTGATTTAACAAAAACTTTCTACTTAGCACAACTAGATGATTTATACATTAGAAAAAGCGCTGATATGTTAAAGATGGAACGCAAAGCAGATACTAATATGGATATTTTACTTAAAAATTTTTATTCTTCCTGTGAAAGTCGTGAAACGTTGGCGCACTTAGGAATGACTCCCATATTAAAAATTGTAGAGCTTAAAGGTGGTTGGCCAAAGGTCAAATCAGCTTCTTGGTATGAAGATGAATACGATTGGATGAAAATAGTTGCAGAAATAAGACGCAAATTGGGTGTTGATGTATTGATTGGCTTAGATATAGTACCAGATGTAGAAGTAAATGATGTACAGCGTATAAAAGTAGGTGCTCCAAAGCTTCACTTACGTACCAGAAAAGCTTATTTAGAGAAACAATACGAAAAACAGCGTGAAGTTTATGAAAATGAAATATCAAATAAACTGCATAGATATTTTCCTGATATGTCGTCAGAATGGGCAAACGAAGTTGCTAAACAAGTTGTCGAACTCGAACAAGAATTAGCTAAAGGTTTACCTAAGCTTGAGAATTTCACATTTGAACAAACAAAGAGATCACGTTATGCATCGGACTTAAGAACCGCCTACGGCACCTATGTAGATCTCAGCCGTTACCTTCATCTTATTTTCAATGAAACAATCTATTCCGAAGTATATGAGTGGCCAGAAGACTATATGACTAATTTGATGGAAGTTATAAAGAACACACCAAAACTCACCATCGCTAACTATACAATGTGGCGCGTCATCAATAGATTTGATCATGTAGCTGATATTAACAAGGAGAAACAGGATAATTGGTGTGTGCGCAAAATTATAAAATATTTTCCACATCAATTAGAACGCATGTTTCAGCATAACTACAACAGCATGCAGATGGTAAATGAGTTGCAATCAGTATGGGCTGATATTAAAAATACTTTCAGAGAAGAACTGCACACAGCAAAAAAACTTAATTGGATATCCTTAGATACACGTCAAAAGGCTGTTGTCAAATTGGATTCCATGGATTTGGAATTTATAACACACAACGATGAAAATTTAGAAGGGCAAATGTACGGTTTGAAATTTACTAGGGATAATTACTACGAAAATTTAATAAACATTATGCAATGGAAAACATTACACAAATTGGCAAAATACTTGCTAAAACCTGAAAATATTGAAAAAGATACGAACAGAATAAAATATCAATTAAGAAAAAACAAAATAGAAGTGCCTATAACGTACTTGCAATCTCGTTTCTTTTGGGATCCTGTGTACCCAACAGCGCTTAAATATGGCACATTAGGTTTTGTGCTCGCACAGGAAATGTTGCAGGGTTTTGATTCAGTGGGTCGAAAATATGATAATCACGGTTTTCAACGCAACTGGTGGGATATGAACTCAGAAGCAAGCTTTGACGACCATACACAGTGTTTCAAAAACCAGTATGAAAATTACAAAATTAAAGGAAAATTGTCTGAAGACGCCGATGTGGTAGCTACCAGTGTGGCAGATAATGGTGCAATTAGTATTGCGCATACGGCTTTCCGTAAGTGGTGGAGTAATGCACCTGACATAGAACATTCGACTAACGAAATCTTACCATCACTAAAGTATAATTCAGAACAACTATTCTTCATTGGTTTTGGACAATTGTTATGTGCTAATTATCATGAAAGCGTAACAGTATATACTGAAGTACCGGAAAATGTACGTGTACTAGGCGCCCTGTCCAATCAGTTGGCTTTTGTTGATGGATTTAAGTGTGATTACAATGTGAATATGAACCCCAAAAAGAAATGCCTTATTTGGTAACAAATATCAATTTATTATATTTATACACATATATGAATAAAAAATAATTATAAAATTATTGATCTTTTCTATATTAAAGATCATTTGTTATTTTTCATTGATATTAAGTGATTGGTTCTTTTATATCTAATATTAATTTACATTAGTTCCACTTTGTCTACTTAGTTTTAAACCACTTGCAATATAATGTAATATTGCATATTAGATAGTAATATGTATTTATAATATTTATAAATAAGTACAAATTAATATAATGTAATAGGAAGAAAAAAATCTATGTGTAGAAAGATAAAAAATATACGAATTGGTATAAACGCAATTCCATTGTAAAATTTCAAACGATTAATTTAATATTAATAATATTAATTTAATATTAATCGTTTAATATTATTTAGTGAAAATACAAATTACCTTCCATAGTATTCATTTATAAATTCTACATTCATATATAAATAGAAATTCATAATATATAAATAGAATGATACTAAAACTCTCCGACTGTGTAACTAACTCAGATAGGAAATTTATGCGGAATATTAAAAAGGGTTTATGGAAAATTAAGAGCCGCATAAAATATACAATAGCACAATAATGCATCTAGCCTTAGCAAATAAATAGAGTTGCAATTCTAGAAAAACGGCTTTCCGAGCACTCCGGTAAACTATCACAAAGGGATATAGGAAATATCAACAATTTCTGAAAAATAATAAGTTGGTTAAAGTCGTGTAAATAACTCACAAATCGAAAATGCATATATTATAAAAACCCAATTTACTAAATTGACTAAATCACTACAAAAAAGAACAAGACAGCTAACAAAATACACCAAACCTATAGAACTAAGGTAGAGTATATATTTATTTTTATATTAAAGGAACACCACATTTTAGAAAATATTAATATTAGCATAATATTGGGAAAATATTACGGAAGTCACTTCAACTACTTTTAAAATACATTGTTTTGAATCTAGTGATTAGTATTTATAATAAATTTATATGATCATTGAACAATACTAAATAGTAAAGAGCATCTCTTACTCTCTGAACGAAAAAACTGCAGATAACCTCCAGCAACTTTTTATTTAAATCTCTTTTAATTTGTTTGGCTTATCGCAACAGTCGGACTTATAATGGAAAAAATATTATTTTTAAATTATACTTTAACTCGAAACTAGTTCAACCTAGTTGATTTATTTAGTACGTTTGTTTACATCGTCAAACGAGAATGTTAGTTGCTAAGACTCACGCATTATTATCGACTGTTTTCATTTTCCTAATCGTTCTCAGAAAGCACATCGTAGTATGCGAAGATGCTGATGATTTTGCACGCATATTTAGACAAGGTGAACAAGTACGTAAAAATAAAGGAAAGGAAGTACTTAAATATATGAACTTAAGTGCTGATCCTTGCAAGGACTTTTATGAATTTTCTTGTGGTAATTGGGGAAAACACAATACGGTCAAGGAAGATGAGATCAAAACACCGTTAAGTCTATTGAATACAAAAATTAATAATGACTTGATTAGCATTTTAGAGGACCAAGTAACTGTAGACGATGGTAATACTGGACGTAAAATTAAAACTTTCTATAAATCATGTACTAATGCTCAACGTAATGGACTCACACAGGAACAATTCTTCAGTAAATTTATTAAAAATAATGGCGGCTTTCCTGCAGTGCCTGCTTCTAATTGGCTTATAGAGCATCATAACTATAATTGGCAAGAAATTGTATCGGACTTAAATAAAAAGTATAATACGAATATTTTAATTGGTCTTAAAATTGACCTGAATCCTTATCATATTCAAGAAAATACACTCTATATAGTTAACCCAAACACAATAATACCAGACCATTTATGCAATGCTCAATATACTGAGCATACAGTTCTAGAAGCACTGGAATATGAAGTAATAGAAGCAGATGTAGTGGAAAATTTGATATCGTGGTTAGGCATGAAATCAAACGATGCGAAGAAAATCGCCTTTGAAATTTTATCCTTTGAATTCGAACTGTGCAAAGCAATAAATTTAAATGTAAGTGAAGAAACTAATATTATGCAATACAAAAAATATCCACGTAATTCCTTAACTGAATTTTCACAAAAATTTAATGAAAATATTAATTTCGATCAATTTGTCAGAAACAGCCTGGGTTCACCTTACTATAAACCAGTGATTATGACAAATGAACATTATATCAACGCTCTCATTAATACAACGGAGCAGCACAATAAATCGACTATTGCTAATTACATAATGTATAGCGCATTGTCTTTGCTTAGCTTACCAAAGGATACTGACAAAAGTGTTAGACCACGTTTTTGTTTGGATACACTTAAAAGACATTTGCCAGAAATTTTAAGTGATATGTACCGCAAGAAATACTCTAGTATTTCTATTCGTAGTGAAGTGCTAACACTATATGATAGATTAAAGAACTCATTTCAACACAGCTTGCAAAATACTTGGATTGCAGATAGTTCAAGTCGTGCGGGGCAAAGGAGACTATCCGAAATAAATTTAAATTGGCCAAAATTAGATACAAACAATTTAAATGTACAGTTTGACATTAAAAATTATTGGAACAACTTAGAAGAAATTATGTCCACAGTACAGCCAAAACATTTAACACTTTTATTCAGTCTTGAAAATGCGCAACCAAGTAACGAAGTGTTTGCCTACGAAACTCGACTCGCCTACAAGCACACCCATAGACGTATCGATATAAGTTGGGGTTCACTACAAACACCATACTATCGGGAATTATATCCAAGTGCTATGCGTCATGCTTTGATCGGTCAGCCATTAGCAGAAGAATTGTCGAAGGCATTTGATGATATAAACTGGACCGAAGATTTTTTGGGTATTCCACATTGGGATCGCCATACTGAAAAAGAATATGCTGCACGTAGTGAATGTTTTCGTACACATACTAGCAACTATATGTATAATAACCCAGAAATTTTCCAAAACGAAACACTATTACGAGAAATAATTGCTAAAAATATTGGCGTTAATATTTCATTCAAAACGTATTTGGATTGGTTAACATATCTAAATCCGCAACATGATCATGACATGTTATCAAGGGAAACATTAGCAGAACTTAACTTTACAAACACACAACTATTCTTTATTACATACGCTCAAATGAATTGTCAAAGCAAAAAAGACGATAAGCAAAATGAAAGATATGATATCTTATTTGAACAAACGCTAGAGAGTTTTAAAGTTAATGGACCCTTACAGAATTCAGAAGAGTTTGCTAGAGATTTTCGCTGTGCAAAAGGAACTGTAATGAATCCAGATAATAAATGTGTTATTTATTAGATGATTTATGTATAATATTATTTTATATAGAGTAATGCATATAGAAATAAAATAAAAAACAACAAAATAAAAACATCAATACTTTTTCCTTTTATCTTTAAAAAAAGTGACATAAATTTATATACACATAAAAGGTTTGTCATGAAAATATTTGCAAAATTTACATCCATATCAATCAGTCATGATGTCATCACTCTAAAGATCATATTGGGGTTAATGTGTTAATAATAATACATTTGGTGGTAACATGTTAAGCGTAACTACTGCAACTAAAAATATAATGGACTGGATCTATAAGTGAGAATTCAATATTTTTCATCATATTATGATTAATAGCTTTGAGAGAATAGCTGTTGTAGACGGTTTAGTAATTAGGTAGTTTAAACAATATTATTCTAAAAAACATTCTAAGGAAAAGCATAAGCTCTGACATTCTTGACTTACTTTGATTTTGAATATGAACCTACAAAACTCTAAATCGTGCTATATAATTTTCGGGACTGAAATTATAAAATATTGGAAACTCAAGAAAATTATATTGATTTCTATTTCTAAATATTAGCGTTACGATCACTGAACATTGTTTTCAAATAAATAAGCGTTTGTCGTCTTTCTGTAGTCACAGTAACAATGACTAATCTAAGCATATTTTCTACGAAAGTTTCAATTGCTTGACCCAAGATTCGACTCGACAAAGTAAGTAAAGAAAATTTTTGAATATTTGTGGATGATTTTGAAGTTTACTGTTTTTGACCATTTATTAATATTAACTTAAACGTTATTTGGAAAATTGGAAAATTGGAAAAAAAAAATTGGAAAAAAGTCGGGGGATCTAAGAAATTTCTATATTTTCTATATAATTGAAGTAAGTTTTGAAATGTATATGAAAAAATTTTATAATGAAAGAGTGGTTTTCTTAATCTGTTGTTCATCTCTAATATATTTTAACCAAATTACTTTTGGAGTCAATTCTAAAACTGGTTAATAACATCCCAACCAAATCTAAAACTGATTATCGAATTATCTCTCAATCTTGATAGCAAGAGACGTTCTAATCAAACTTTTACACATCTTATAATAATAGTATAAATTTTCAGTATCTTACAAATATCTTATAAGTATCTTATATATACTTGGTATCTGGTATCTTGTGTAGTATGGTAAAAATTTTCTATAACCTATTATAAAAAAAAATTAGTCATACAAACCAGGGACAAATTAAAATTTCCTTAATTAAATATATTGAGAAACTACACACAAACAAATAAAAAATATATATACCTAACTGATAACCTAAAGAATTAAACTTGTATAGAATTTCAAGTACAATCAAAAACCTTGAACTGATACTTCTCACAATAAAAAAAATAATAATTTACATGCTCAGAAACATCAACAGAGCTTATCGCAGCCGCTCCTGTCTCAGCAAAAAAAAAACTTTTCCCGTAATAAAGTCCATATAGAACATTTTTAATTTAGTACAAAGTTTCGCATCGTCGCGTGAAAATGATAGGTTTCATTCGATTTATTTTAGTATTTTACGGAATCGCGGTAAAACTAACAACTGGAGCTTACGAAGTCGGAGACGAACATGCTTTACGTACTGCGAAAAAAAATGAAATACTCAAATATATGAATTTGAAAGCCGATCCATGTAATGATTTCTTTGATTTTGCGTGTGGCAAATGGTCTCAATACCAGTCTACAATATCGGTCGGAAAGGAAGACGACCTGATAACAGTAGAGAGTCAAATGGAAGAACGCATTAATAAGGATTTACAATTATTATTAAATGAAAATATAAACAAACACGACACTCCGAGCACACGTAAAGTTAAGCATTTTTACAAATCTTGTGAGGTCGCAGAAAGATTCTCTACAGACTTTTTATTAGACTTTATAACTAGACATGGTGGCATACCATCGTTATCTACAACGAATTGGCGTGCTAACTATGATTGGGTAGAAACGATAGCAAAACTACGTGCTAGTTATGGTATGGACATTTTAATAGGCTTGGAAGTTAATTCAAATCCACATAATGCATATGGCAAAAGTATTTTTATTGGAGAACCAAAGGAAACTCTAATACCTGTGGAATTATGTAGCGCTGTTGGGACAGAACTAATTGATGTGAAACATGACATATACAAAGATATAGAAAAAGCTGTTTTTAATGATATGAAAAAATGGTTTTCAATGGGAAATAATGAAGCCAACATATTTGCAGGAGACGTTGTTAGATTTGAATTTGAACTATGCAAGAAAATGCGTTTAGAGCAATCATTGACATCGAATAAAGAAACAGAACCAGAAGAAGAGAGAGAAAGAGAGAGAGAGGTACGTGGTCGTACGGGAAAAAATAGGCTGAATCAAAATAATCGTTACGCACAACAAACGCCTTTGATTAGTTTGCCGCAATTGACACAGCAATATGAAGGAAATATAAACTTTAAACAATTCGTTGATGTCAGTTTTGATACTGCAATCAATGATCAAGTTTATTTACGTTCTGAACAATATTTCGAACATTTAATACGCACAATTAAAATCTTCACGAAGCCCACATTAGCGAATTATATAATGTATAGGGCGCTACTTGTTTTAAATTTTCCAAGCGATGATGATAACCTTAATACACATCGAAAACATTGTGTCAAGCTTTTACAACGTTACTTTCCCAAAGTTATAGGGGAAATGTATAACCGTAGGAATCAACGCATGCCAGTAAAAAATGATGTAGATAATTTATATAAAGATATTAATACGGTCTTCAATGAAGCGCTTAATAGCGATTGGATCACTGAAAATTCAAAACGAACAATTCGGCAAAAGGTTGCAAAAACAAAAGTCAAATATCCACTATATCAAAACATAGATCTCAGTAATTTACATATAGAGCGCTTGGATTACTGGCGTAAATTAGAAGAAATTATAAAGTTTCATGCTAAAGAACAGCAAAGTCCTTTATATGATACAAATCTTATAAATGAATATGATGTAGAAGCAGATGATATAGCAATAAAGTATATACCAAATCAAGATGATATACTTGTGAGTTGGGGATTTTTACAAACACCACTCTATCACTATGTATATGGAAAGTCGCTTAAGTATTCAGTACTTGGACAACGTTTAGCACGTGAATTAATAAGTGCACAAGATGAACAAGCCTGGCAATTGGATACAATGTCGGCAATGGTGTGGGATAGTTTTACATTAAACGGCTTTCGCAATCGCAGTGAATGTTTTCGTCAACAATATAGCAATTATTTACACAATGATCCTGATGAATTTCAAAATGCTTTAAAATTAAGAGAAATTATTGCGGATAGCGATGGTTTAAGTCTCGCCTTTAACACCTATTTAAATTGGTTATCAAAAATGGATCCTGAAAGCCGTGGCCCACTAATGCGTGAAACATTACCAGATCTAAATTATTCAAATACACAATTATTTTTTATTAATTTTGCACAGGCACGTTGTGCAGCTGCATATGTGGCTGAACAACCGTCAGAGATGTTTCCTTTTGATCAACAAACTGAAGAACGTTATGATGTTAATGGACCATTGTCAAATTTCATAGAATTTTCGAGAGAGTTTGGTTGCGCAGCGGGTACACCAATGAATCCTGGTGAAAAGTGTGTGGTTTACGATTTTAAAGTTTAATGTAATAAATGTAATAAAGTTAAAAGAGTAAAAATTACTGCATTTTGTTATTGTTTCATATACATCTTAAGGCGTCACGTACAGTTTTATTGATTGAAATGCAGCTTTCTGAAAGTTATATTTTTATTCATGCAATTTTTAATTTGTAATTTACTGTGAAAATATTTTCCCAAAAAAAAAAAAAACAAATACAAATAACAGAAAAGTTCATTTAAACATTTTTAGCATGCAAACTACACAAATAAATGTGAAGCAAAAAGTGAGTGAGTAGAAAAAGTGAGTTACATTTAAAAACGAAACGACACATTTACACCCAAGGTTATATATAAACCTTATTATATTATAAATAAAAATTATAAATTAAAGTAGAACTACAGTTTATGGATCCTTTTTGTTTAAATAACGAATCGATGGGGATTTAAGTATAAACCCAAAACACAGTCGCTGGCTATCATAACAACTGTATGCCAGACTAACTAAAACGCGATGACATAGCCGTGAACTTTATAAGTTATATTATATCAATTAGTATCTGTAAATCAATATTAATTGATTTATAGCAAAAAAAACAAACAATCTCTATCCAAAAATTGGTAGATTGATTATTGCCTTATTAACGGATATAGCCTGATATCCAGACATGCACAGACACTAAAGTTTTTAACAGAAAAACATAAACGATTAATAGAGTTTCCTTCAATTTCTAATAATAAAGAAAACAATTTTTATTTTGAAAGTTTGGTGCTCTTTAGTATTAAATTAGTCACTCCTTATATAGCACAAGCCATACAGAACAAAGATATATCAGCACACAACAATATAAGAAAATTAAGACCAGTCTACATAAAGCAATTTCTTTACAGAAATTTCATATTGTATTTATGAAGATTTATTTTTGGAATACCTAAGATTATGAGTAAAAAAAGAGTGATTCAAGTTTGATTTCCAGATGGTGATGATGAATATATCATACATTGAATGTATAAATATTAAAAATATTTTAAAGATGAATATGTAAGAATATAAATGTTATATAAAAGGTTACACCTAAAATACGAGGGCGGTTTGATAAGTCCATGACTTTTTGAATACAACAGTTTTTTTCCGACAAATAAACACTTTATTTTTCTACATAATCACCTTTTAGCTCAATACATTTAGTCCAGCGTTTTTCTAATTTGCTTATTCTCTCCAAATAACAGGTTTTCTCAAAGCTCTTTGTTTCGGTAATGACTTCTTCATTCGACTCAAATCACTTACCGCCCAGCCATTTTTTTAGGTCTGGAAACAGAAAAAGTCGCAGGGGGCTAAATCTGGAGAATATGCTGGATGGAGTAGCAGTTCGTATCCCAATTCGAAGATTTTGGCTATGTGTTGATTTTTGCTTAAACAACACATGAAATTCACTTTTTTCCATTTTCGTAAAAACTCACGAGGTTGTCTGCTTTGAACGGCTATCAAACACCAACTAAACGACGTAGCTTGCTCAAAATCACAAAATTACCCACTGTTAGATTACAGCTTACGGCACCACTGTTGCATTTGGAGTAACTGCGCGGGAAATTCAAAAAGTCACTGACTTATCAAACCTCGTAACTATAGAATATCCTACTCAAAAAATTATTTTTATTTTAGTATAGAAAAAAAATCCTTCAAAAACTTTCTATAGCGTACCCAAATGCATACGAACCCTTAACGACGCCCATTTACATAATTATCTCACGACCACACTTATCTGAGCCTAATTGTTATGCTTTTCTATCCAATCGAAGTAGAAATTTTCGTTATCCTTGTTACAAATTAGACTCAAGTTTGCCTACTCTTCACTTTTTCATTACTATATACTTCCTATATGCTATAGTAGATTCAAACTTCCCTTTATATCTCTCTTCTATAATTTGCACTTTCCTTACTTTAATTAGCGACTTTAGCAAGCAACTTGTTGTTTTTTTGCCACACTTTGAAGCTGCCGAATACAGCTACTATTAATCAGGAAGTTCAACAATCATTCTGTTACAAACACGTTTTATTTATACTTTCAATTTTGTGTGGTGCTCTTCCCAATAATTACCAAAATATTTGTTCTTTTTGAAAAACTTCATTAGTTTAAGATTGGAAATAGTAATTAATTTGTATTTTGTATTTATTTGAATTCAATTGTGTTCGAAACAACCCTGGCATTTAAGTGTTTTGAAAGACGAAATTTACATTTAATAACCCTAAAACCAGTATTTAGTTGAAATAATTTTGTAATATAAAGAAACCTATATACAATATATAAACCATTCAAAATATTTAAATATCACATAACTTTACAGTAGCTGATGATTACTACTTTATTGTATTTTACACAATGTCAAATAAGACAATAAAAATCTTGAATGTAGATACTTTTAAGTAGTTCCCATCAGTAGCTTTGAGTAACCTTCAACATGCAACTAAAATATTAACCAACTTATTATGGCTTATAATCAATATTTGTCAATTAAATTCTGTTTTTAATAATAAAATAAGTTTTTAAAAAAACAAATTTTAATCACTCACGCATTTCCGTTTTAAATTACAATATGTTTAACTTAATGGAGTATATTATAATGTGTAGTATTGTCTTAGCTATGCACAAGTCTATAAATCAATTTTATTACCTGCAAAGAAAACAAGAGTTTATTAGTTTACAAATTATATATACTAGTAAAAATCATATAATTTGAAATTAAAAAATAAACAAATAACAATCATAGTGAAGGTTTTTGTAGTTATTTTGCAACTGAAATTTTGTTGGTGGGAAGTTATCACGAAGTACTCAATACATTCACCTCATAGCCTTAAACAATGATTTTAAAAAATCTCACATAATATGTATATTATTAAAAAAAATATTTGTTGTTTTAATTAATAACAATAAATAAATATAATAATAAACAATGGAATAATATATAACAGAAAATGAGAATATGTAACGATAATTTATGGTGTTTCCTTTTAAAGTTCCTTAACTTTAAGAGATAGTATATTAATCTAAAAGATGTAAAAAATGCTTTGAGTAAGAGCGTCGACTGTTACTATTTACCAAGATACAGAGTACCACAAGATACTTTATTTGAAAATGGAACTTTACAAATTACTATCTCATCCAATTAGCCCACACTGTATAAATGCTTCTGACTAATTTTAGTTCTTCTATCCACTATTACAAGGAATTGTGGATTCAAAACGACTTTCTAAGCTAATGCGTTCCTCTCTTCACTTCCACTAACTAACTAACTAGCCCACATTGAAGCAAAAATAGCTTCAAATGATCACAAGTTTAATAAATATCACTTAGAATTGCTTCGCACCATATTCTTTGGATCTGAAGAATAGGATAGTGTTTATTGAGTTTTACACCATTTAAAGTAAATGGATTGCAAAAAAATTATATATATTATAATATATCATATATCTACTATGAAACGTAACGAACTTAAGTCAGTTTTGAAACTATTATATAGTATTATAATAACATATTGAGTACACTTTGATAACTTATTTATGCCTTGGTAATGAATCCACTTGTTGATATATTCATTATAGTTTACAAATGCCTACATTCATTAAATTTAATCAACAGATACTTCATCATTCACATTATAATTATGTGCAAATATTTTCAATTATAATAAATAATTTTTTCCCCCAGAGCAAGAGAAAAAAACAATTAACTGATTTAATAAAGGAAGTCGGTCTCCCGTTGCTAATTGTTTATAAAATATTTATTAAAACCATTTGTGGCGATTCATTTGAATAAAAAATAATTTGTTGGTCTTTATGGCGGCAAGTAAAACTGACAAAAAAAAAAATAACGTTTAATAACGTATGTCTGCCGAAGTCTTTCTAATTCTCATTATTCATGGTCACAATGTCCCAATTAATGATAAAATTGCGAATGATGCGTCATTTTTATGAAATATTTGAATTCAAATTTTTAGCACATTTAAAAAAAAAATTATATATTTAATAAAAAGAAAATATTTTTGAAAAAAATATGCATTATTTGCAAAATATTGTAAATATATATGTATAAGGCTCACAACTTTTTCTATATATAACTAATATATGCACACATATAATATAAATAAAAATAATATGCTCAGAATATTTATTTGATACTGCTAAATGGTCAATGAACTAAACTTATATGCAAATCACTTAAATATATAACCTTACACTGCCCAAGAAAATAGTATTATTTATAGACCTATAATAAATAAATTTACAGACAAACTTCCATATTATAACTTGTAGATCTGAAATATGCTAAAGACTTATTTTTAATCCAACACAAAGCTACGAAATCACAATCACTGATTCATCAACTTCGTCGGAAAATAGTGATAACTGACCTACAGATGTATGTAAGTAAACAAAAGTTATAAACAGTGAATATAACAATCAAGTTGACCCCGGGTTATATGTCTACGATCAAATCATCATGAAGACGTTGACAGTTTCAAGTACCTCAAAAGCATTATGAACAACAAAAGTAATTCATGCTAACAGGTAAGTTTGCATATAATAAACCTATAGCAGGCGTTTAGTATGCTAAAATCCAAATGAAGGTATATCAAACCGAGTATACCAAAAATCGAAGCACTATATTTTTAACGTTGAAACAGTGATATACTATGGATCTTAAACTTTAAAGAACTCCAAACATATTAAAAAATGCCTCCAACTCGTCATTAATCAATGTTTGTTACCAAATTTTAAGAATTTGATGGCCTGAGTCAATATCAAACCAGCAATTGGAAAAATGTGTCAAGTTTCTGCGCAACTACAATAATAAAATCTTAAAAGTGATAATTAGTAAGCCACAAATTATGTTGACAAACAAAAAACATAGCTAGACTGACATAGCACCGGACACTGAGATGACGAAGAACTATGGGAAGCGAACTATACTATAGCGGGAACTATGGTTAATATACTTGAAGCTAAGCTCATAACAGGTCACGACTTAGAAAAATTGAAAGTGAGTTGCAGATT